GTTACCTCTCGCGCCGTTACTCCCGATGAAGATTACGACAAGACGCTTCCGAAGAAATATTACATCGATGCCTGTATCATTTCAACCATCCTCGCCCGGGCATTTGCAACCCAGCCACTTTATTTCAGAGATTCACTCTGGCGCGAGGTTGAGGACGTGCTCGTCAAATCGTTGTTCTCAGGTCCAGAACAGGAACCTGGCGTATTCGTCGCTCTATCCGCTCTCTTGCTAGGGGCAGGCAGCGAAATCAGAGAGTACTTAGGCGCCGAAAGGGGTAAGCGAGGTAAAGGGAAGGCCTGGTTGTGGTACGACGACGTTCGGACGCAGAAGGACGCAGAGTGGGGATGGGAAGACATCATTGAAGCTCTTCTTGAAGTGCCCGAAGAAGAGCTGTCCACCAACCTACCCGACTACGTTGAAGCTACCTTGGCTCTGGCCAAGGTTCACGTAGGTCATGGTGATGGTGAAATTCCCAGCTGGGATAGCGATAAACTAGCTCAAGAAGCCTTCAACTGGCTTTGAAATTGATCAGAGAGGTGTCGGAAACTGGTTCGTCTCTCGGATCGTCAACATTTAGTCGTTATCAGTACTTGTCCGTCTTTCCGCATTTTTTTGGGTACTAATCGAAACCTTACTATCACATCAGTCTGGCAAAAATCCTGTTTCCGAATCTTTATAAACCGTGTATATTCCCCTACAGGGGACCCAGAATATGTATTTTATGACAACTACTTGCACTTTACAAAGTTATTGCCCCCGGCTCCAGTATGTGTCATGCAACCTAATTTATGACTCAATTAGCCTCACCTGCTTGCTAGGTAAAAATTCGACGCACCACAGAATTTCTTATCTTCCCCCTCGAGGTAAACGACGCGATCGGCTCCGGGAGGACTTTCACCATCCCAAGGTTTTTTAGATTTTTTAAGGGGGTACTCGACCAAAGTTCCCTCCTTGCAACCCTTGAAATTCAACTTCTCTCTATTTCCAAATCTGTGCGGATAGGCTCTACCAATGTCACCATGAGTATCTTCCCAAGTACTAATCCAGCGAGACTTACCTAGAGGATGTAGTTGGGGTCTTATTTTTAGAATATCCTTTGTTGATTGCACCGACGATTTCAGAATTGTTATACGAGGTCCCTGTCATCTAAAATAAGAGCTGGTGGCAGGAAGTGAATAGGCGTCATTTACCTGCGCAGTTGCAAGTATGAGCAGCGCTAGCGGCTACGAGGATGGCTGTGAAAAGGATGGACAGTAGCTTCATCTCCAAGAGCATAAAAAATTGGTGGGGAAAATTTCTTAGGTTTGCTCTATTTTTATGGACAGGCGCTTAATACATACCTATACTTTTTTGACAATCATCAATTCACAGCGCTAGGAGCTGTTTCGGTTCCAAAGATTTTATCAGAAGTACGAATTACCCTGCAACTTTCCTTTATGGTTTACGAAACTAACAATTTGCTTTATATGTCTTAATTTTTTTTACAACTAAGACGACATCAGGAAAACTACACGTCCACTTATGTCACTTATGTCACTTTGACAAGTGGCCAAGTGATGAAAGTGAACTCAAGTGGCCAAAGGAAACTCACTTGGCTAAGTAGGTTGCTGCCTTGGCCAAGTGATTCCTCTTGATGCAAGTGAAGACTCAAGTGGGTAAGTCATATGTCAAGTTGATCTCAAAAGTGACCAAGTGACGAAATAGCAGTCTCAAACTGTTCCCGATTTCACACAGAATGGTATATTTAGTAAGGTAAAAGAGTATATTAAATGGTACCAATGTCTACCTACAATGTAGCAGCTCAAGGAACCTCTGAAATGCGTAGAAAGCCAAACATCCTGCAACCCAACATCCCACCCTTCAGGCTCGCTCATGGAGAAACCAAAACGACCCGTTTCGCTCGTTCACGGTGCCAATGCCTATCCCCTCGATGCGCGAATTGTCTTCGCGACAATTTGTTGATAGAATCGATGTGCTGGCGCCCCAGTTGTCCTCCGAGAATTTTGCTTCTTCCTTACGATCCGGAATGCCGGCAGTAGAGACCCCCGTGATCCAGAACTTGAACGCGCGCTCAGCCTGCACGAAAATAAGATCACGCAGAAGGGAAGGGAAGAGGAGACATACCCAAATGTCGAATATATAGGCACGGCGAAAACGGCGATGGGATTGCCGCCACCTCCATCTAGTGCGAATGAGCTCGGAATTTGGGCACGGTGAAGACGGCAGTGGGAGTCTCCATATGAGCATGGCGGAAGATGGTGTAGATGTAGTCGAGGTACCTGGGTAGGGTAAAGTCATGAGGAGGGGACAGGCGGGGAAGAAGGGAACAAACCAGATTGTTTTTGGCTCGGTGGGGATCTCCATATGAGCGTGGCGGAAGGCGGTGTAGACGTAGTCGAGGAGGTGGTACCTGGGTAGGGTGAAGTTGTGAAAGGGGACAGGCGGGGAGGGGAGAAGGGAACAGACCAGATGTCCAAGGTGTTCTTTCCATCGCATTCTCCGCTGTATCCCAACATCAACTTCCTCCCCTCTAGAAGTACAAGAAAACCATCCTGCACTCGCGAAGGTCGAGCGTGTGATGGCTCAGGTTCGTCATCATGTTCTGTGAGACCGTTAATATGTTTTGCATTTGTCTGTAAGTTAGGATATGCATGTTAGCTTGCCCTATCGAAATACAAAGCGAAGAGGAGATAAAGGGAGGAAAGACGTACCCAAAACGTCCTGCTGGACAGCGGACTCAGTCCTGCACCAGCAAATGTCGAGCGCGTGATGACTACGGTTCGTTTTCCATGTCGGCGAGCGAGCAGGCACAAACTGCAGTGGGATTTGGCCAAGATTTGGCGAGGGCAGGTTGGACACCGCTCAGTTATGATGAACGTTGAAAAGAAAAACCGATGGTGAAAATTTTAACATCGTCACATGTCGTCGGACTTCGAATGGACTTAAGAATAATTTCTAAGTAGCGTGTTTGAGCATCCCGATGGCTTTTGTGAGTGCTGGGCACTTAAGTACTTATGACTTACTGACGTGAGTGGCTTGAATTGGGCTTGAATCCCCACTTGGACTCACTTCGAGTTTGAAAGAAAGTTGTGGCTGTAACATCAAGTGCCGAAGTGATTCAAGTGAGATCACAAGCGATGTAAGCCCAACAAGTGAAGTGTAGTTTTCCTGATGGACGTTCTACCAACAGTACGTGATTGGAAGAAGTGGAAGTTTTTTTTAGAATCTAGGGGGTTAGCGCTGTCTTTTTTTTTTTTTTTCATTCCAGACGTCTATCTTTTTTTCCCAATCGCCACCCAGTGCGACTACTTATATTGATAGTACAGACGTACTCACGGCGTACTACCACGGCGGCATGAGATCTCATCTGCATACTATGTAGGATACCCATAGTGACCCTTAGACTCGGAGCTGAGCGTAGGAAATAAATTGGCATCACTTATTCCCACAAGCGCAAGGGTGAGTAGCCTCAGGATCGGTTGAGACCGCTAAGAAGACGGGCGCGAGCCTGAGGAAGATAGAAAACAACTTGACTTTCAATCAGTCGACAGCGCCAGAAGTTGGTCCTATTTAAAATTTTGCGTCGACCTCTGAGTCAGAAGTAGTTTTGAGATGGAAAATCTTATAAAGAACAGTCACTCAAAAAGTCCGTGTTGTGTTACAATATACCAGCATATTCATAACGTTATGACAATAAAGGCTAGTGGTTGGCGCACAATACAAACCCGTTTGGGGTTTTAGCTCCAGTATGTGTCATGCAACCTGAGATTTTCTCCCGTTAGTTACGTTGATCAATAGGGGAGTTCACGGTAGCCAATTTTGATTCATTTTTGATCTCATTTTTGATTTCATTTTCCAGAAAAATGAGCTGAAAAATGGAGCTAGAAAAGAGATGGAAAACGACTCAAAAACAGCATTTTTCAAAAACAGGATGCGTGTCCGTTTTTGACGTGTTTCTATTTTTCATTCATTTTTCATCCATTTTTTGTCTTCGGCTGTCAAGTCGCCGAAGGGCGTTTCGGCGTTGTCCGTCCTCTTTGTTGTTGCCCCATACGGCAATCACCTGATTCTATTTACCATACACACTACAGAACGAGCAAAGAAATTAAGATAAAATACCTTAAATAGACTGAAGACCAACCAATTGACACTCAAAGAAGAATTGCAGCTGACAGATAGTATTGGAGAAGCGATAAGATAAGGCGGGGTCTGCAACAAGATGCGGAGTTCAAGGCTGCCGGGGTGCCGGAAAACGTGCAGTTCCATTTTTCACTCGTTTTTGATCTCATTTTTCAAAATTTCAAGGGGGTCGGGTTCACAGTAACCATTTTTCGGTTCATTTTTCAGTTCATTTTTGACGTTCTATGTCTACAAAAACGAACGAAGGATGGATCAAAAATGGATCAAAAATGGCTACCGTGAGCACCCCTAATATATCCTTCAGCAAAAATTGAACGTACCACAGAACGTCTTTTGTGGCCCCTGAAGGTAAACGACGCGATCGGCTCCGGGGCTTCCACTACCAGAAAAAGGTGCTCCACTCTTGAGGGGGTACTCGATGTAAGTTCCACCTGTGCACCAGGGGAAAACCAACTTCTCGCGATTGTTAAAATTGTGCGGATAGCCTCTATCAATGCCACTGAGAGTGTCGTCGCCAAATGTATGCAGTTTAATCTTACCGAGGGGACGTTGGGTTAGAATTCACAGAGTATCCCTTGTTGACTGACGCCACGATTTCCTTATTATTGTAGGATGCCTCTGTCCCAAAGAATTTTGTGAGAATCAAACGCGGGGGACAAGCAGGGAACGAATAAATGTTACTTACTTCCACATACACAGGAATGTGCACTGGGCGCCTCAGAACCAGCTGAGACGGCTACAACAATAGCTGCGAGGAGGATGGAAAGTAGCTTCATCTAGAACCTAGAAAGCTCCTGTTGAATGGGGGAATTTGCTGGGACTCCCTCTCCCTTTTTATAGAGAGGGAGGATGGCCAACATGAGTAAATTCGCTTTCTTAGTCCTTATGATCATTGTCAGTCAAGAGCAGTGCAAGTAAGTAGTCGTTTCGGCTCACTAGTTTCGGTTCCACAAAATGATGAAGTATCTCCAAAGTGTCGGTACAGCTTAGGATCTTGCCCTTGATCTGACGTTATAACACTAGAAAGTCGATTAATGTCATTTTTCACAACCTTTCGCCGTTGGTTCTCTCGTACATGGAGGCTAGAAGAAAGAGTGCGCGCCGTTTTCGTGACGAGAGCGCCCTGTCACAGTGTATAGTTCCTTTTTAGGCAATATCAAGGCGTTCACCCAGGTTCAATATTTTATGCTCAGTTACTCTTTGAACTTTTTTATTTATACAATACATCTCGATAAAAATCGTTGGTGTGCATACAGGAATTTATTGGGAATTTAGAAAGGTTACGAATTTTTGCAAAGCACAAATCCGTTACCCGACGCCCCGGTGTGTGTGATGCACCCTGAACGGTAACGAGTATCTATCAACCAAACATAGACAAGACTGCATGCGTTACTTACCGCAGAACGTCTTCGCTGACCCAGTTTGATAGATGACGCGGTCGGCACCAGGCGCGTTCCCAGGAGTGTAGGCAGGCAAAGTCTTGAGAGGGAATTCGACATAATTCCCACCGGAACACCAAGGGAACGAAAAGTTCTCGGGACTGTTATGGAATCCATGGGGATACGCCCCTCTATTCCAAAGCTTAGCACTGAAACGGGTGATATTCACAACTTAAACTCACGAGGACGTTGTCGGGTTCGGATTGGTCGTATATCCTTTGTTAACGGCGCCCACAATGTCTGCGTTGGTGAACGATTTCGCTGTAGTTCGAAGGCTGATAAGAAACAGAGTGAAGGAATATAGGGTGTGCTTACTGCCGCAGACACACGAATGCGTTGCGAGCGCCTCAATCTCGATAGGGCTGCAACTAACGAGCGCCGCTGTCAGAGCAACTATTACCGAGGTGAGGAGTTTCATGTTGGGCCAGAGGTGGGTAGGCGTCGAAGCTAGGTCCTTCTTATACCCCCGCACCAATTGCGAGGGTTGTCAGGGGTTGTCACATGGGGGATGCCACCAAACAACCTATGTGGAAGGAAAGAAGTTGCCATCTGCATAAAGAACGGATTTGGTACCTGGCGATCGGCCGTAAGATATTTAGAATAACATGCAGGTGGAACCTCAACTTGCGGTGGTCCTCAAGCCCGTAATATGCACCTCGCAAGTTCCATATGTAATCGGATGACCAATGGAAGGAGTGTGTCTTTCAATTTCGTGCGCACTCGAGGTCGTAGAATGGCGTACAAGACAGGAGAATGGGGTAGTTGTCGTGACCACCAAAGTACGTGTGGACAGCATAAGTATGGGCCAGCATTGAGAAGGATGTCGCCAAGCAACAGGCTTGAGCGCATGCATCGATGTTTTCTCAGAGAGCATCTGACACGCCACGCCCACGTTCGTCAATTGCTCAGCCACATCGCAGCCATCAACGCTCAGCGCTCAATAATGGCTTCCTGCTCATTCGAAATAATAATGCAGCGTTCAGTACTCCGGCAATCGTAGATGAGGGTACATAGAGAGTAAAATTTAGCCAAGGTGCTTTGTCTGAATCACGTGATGCTACAATAAGTGTTTGTCACTGTGACGTTACACAGACATGTCACATCAGTCACAGTTCTGCTCATTCAGCGCTCGCGGCTCCACTACTCACTTTAACAAAACCCTTTGGCGCTCCGAGCCATCGTTGCTTCTGAAGAGAAGATAAAGGAAGGCTGCCCAACAATCTTGTTCATGAGCGGTGGACAAGCGGTGGAGAAAGCTGTTTAAGAGGACGCACCAGACACACGCCATGAATAGCGCTGCAGTATCATATATGTGCGCACTTTGGGGTACCGTTTTTTCCACAAGATTACCCTTTCGCCGGTCTACAATAACTTATGAGCGAGTCCGAGGGTTTGGACTCAGTTGCTAATTCCGATACTCAGAAACCTGAAAGACACTCCATTTTTTGCAGGTGCAGTGGCGCCAATATTCACTACGTGCCGTTTCGGCTAAGTACCTTAGCGCTTGCTTCAATTGTTGAAGTTGCCTGGAAACTGATGCTTCTATCGTGTCTCACTCCGGTCTCACTCACCAAAGGCGAGTAGCTTTGATAGCTCAGTTTCCGCCGAACCTAATCCACAACGGTCAACTGGCGTGAATGGACTTCCTTCTTCTGACTTTTGAGGGAGTTCCTTTCCGATGACAAGGCCTCGTGTGCCGAGTCGGGCTAAAGGGACAACCGGGAATGATACAGCACATGTCGAAACCTGCTTCAACCGGGAGCCCCGCGTGCCATAGTTATGAGCCGGAATAGGTTCTACTGGCAAATTACTAAGTGAGCCCTGTTACCTTTCGACCGTCTATATGCCCTCATGGCTGCTCCGCACTCCGTCTAGCAGGTTCACGATCATAAACCTTTTCGCAATGGATATAAACCTCCTAGCTAAATTCCATCGTCAATTGATACAGACTGAGCTAGATCGGGAGAACCTGTGTCTGTGTGCACAACTTCTACGGTGTCTTCGATCTTGACAATAGGCATGTCCAAATGTGTGCATTATCGCGATTGAACCATCGAACACTTATAAAACCATCAACAAACCGTAGTATTCCCCAAGAGCTGGCCTCTCACCCCCTGAATTGTCCTCTGGAGCTGGTTTTCCGGTTTCAATCAAGTTTGCCGTGCAAATTACAACTTCATCAGCCCATAAATTATCGCCTCATGCAAATCATCAAGACCCTTATCCTTATCTCGCTCTTCTATAATTCGTGCGTGCAGGCATCCCCTGCTCCGAGAAAGAGAAAAACTCCTGGTCCTAACGCTCCTCTTACTCCTGGGTCCGCTGCTCCTCCACTTCAACTCCCCGTTCCTCCTCTTGAACCACCTGCGCCTCCTAATCAGCCGTCTTCTTCTACTTCGGGCGCTTCTCCTCCTGTTCGCGTTCCTCCCCTCGAGCATGGAGAGTTTGTTAAAGCACGAGTAAAGGCCGTTGACAAGACAGCCGTAAGACCAAATAATTTGCACAACCATATCTTGCTGACAATTTTGCAGTCTAACAAGGAGAAAAGCTATACGCACCCTGGTGTAGTCGTCGGGGGGCCTGACTCGGCTGATACATACAAAGTCGCCATGATGTCCAAAAATCTCCCCGGTAATCCCAAACAGGAGCCCATCAGCAAATACCAGCCTGGCACCAGCATGTATGGCTCGGTTTCACTTGAAAAGCCAGCAGAACTACCAGGACACGTGCTTGAAAGATGGAAGGAGAACCCCGACAACTCGAAGGGTGCGTCAAAGGGCGATGCGTCAAAAGGCGCAGGGTCAAGCAAAGGGAAAGGCGAAGGGTCAAGCAAAGGGCCAAAGGGCAAACAGCCTGAACTTAAGCTACAGCCAAAGCTGACAGCAGAGCAAGTCAAACAACTGCAGACAGATATCGGTGTGGGTACGTTTTCTAACTTTGTTTTGGTTCATTCATTCGCTCAAATTTAAATATGGCAAGATGCTTGTCTTGTCGGCCAAAGTTTGTCGCGGCGTGGGTACGTGAATGTGATTGAAGATTATTCTCAGAGCTGAAATAATCTTAGTTGTGTTCCGGGCAAAGCCACTGCTAAGAAAGGGGGGATGAAAGTGTCTGCGACGAGAGGAGGGTCGAAGGGGCCCGCTCAGCTACAAAAAGCAACCCCGAAGGGCGGAGGAGTGAAGCCGAAGGGTCAGACTGCGAAGAAAGGGGGGGCGAAGCCGGCTGTGAAGAAAACAGGTCCTCAGAAGACAGTCGGAGCGAAGAAATCCGCTCGGAAGCCTATTGCGAAACCAAAGGTTCAGGCTGTGAAGACAGGGGGGGCGAAGCCAGCTGTGAAGAAATCGGGTCCTAGAAACGCAGCAACCAGAAAGCCTGTTCAAAATTCTGCTGCGAAATCGAAGGTTCAGGCTGTTAAGAAAGGCGGGGCTAAGCCGGTGGCTCAGAGACCAGGTCTTCAGAACGCAGGAGCGAAGAAGTCCCCTCAAAAGTCAACTACGATACCGAAGGGTCAGTCTGTGAAGAAAGGTGCTCAGAAACCAGCGCCTAAGAACGCGGCAGCCAAGAAACCCATTCCGAAGTTAACGGCAAGGCCCCAGGCTCAAAAACCAGTACCCAAGAACGCGGCAGTCAAGAAACCCGCTCAGAAGTCAACGACGAAGGCTCAGGCTCAGAAACCAACGGCCAAGAACACAGCGGTCAAGAAACCCTCGCAGAAGCCACCAGCCAAACCCCAGGCGCAGAAACCAGCTCCCAAGAACGCAGCAGCGAAGAAACCCGTTCAAAAGTCTCAGCCTAAACCCCCCGTTGCGAAGCCTAATGGAGGAGCGAAGCCGCCAGCGCAGAAACAAGCCCCAAAACCTGCACCTGTGAAGCCTGCGGCGAAAGCTGCTCCGCGCAAACACTAAGGTTGGCTTTGTTCGCTTGATATATTCTATTGTTAACTCGTACTAATTCATAGTTTCAGGAAGGGAAGGATCGGGGACGTTGGTGTTTTACAATGATTTAACGTGTCGTAGCTCGGTCAATTCTGATCACAGCATGGTCTATGCATAAGAAGATATGGGAGTAATATAAATTGGGATAGTGTATCCTATCAGTGAAATTGAAGTGTACTAGCGCAATTCGGTGGCGAAGACTGAGACCCACTCGTCTCCGTGACAGTTGAGGCCCATGAGACGAATGATACGAGGGCGAACGTACTGCAAGCTCCATGGATCACTGCCAGAAGGGATCTTTGGCGGAGGCTAGGTTCATCAATAATTAGTTAGAACGCGGGATGGAAGTTTTCTGGGTGATTGGACTTACAACATAGGGGTCGCCGACCTTCCTCTCTTTAGAGTAACCTGCTTGCCTCTGAAGGCCAATATAATGGTCCCACAAGCATTCCGAAACTTGTTTTGCAAGTTCTCCCCGACTCAGAGATCGGCCGTCAGGATGATATTTCGCAATTTCCTGCGTAACTGCACCAAGATTCGGCAGCTAATGAATGGGTATCACAAATTCGAACTCGAGAGAGGGTCAGGACTGGACTCACCTGATGTAAGATCATCATGGTCGCCTTCCGAGGGCCTGGAGTAAACATAAGGTCGTCATGATAACAGAGAATATTGGTCTCTTCGGTATTTGTAAGGTTACCAATCAAAGGGGGCAAGCCGCTGCGCATGAGGAAACCGATGCTTAGGGCCGCCGTTGCGCCTTGATACCTTGGGCTGCGTGGTGCATAAAGAAATTGGCAAGGGCTTGCGTATTTGCCATTGTTTCCGGCTTGGGGGTGCTCGAAGGTAAACTTCGCTCCAGCAGGTTTCAACGGCCAGATGGAGGGCCTCATAACTTGGAGGTTGAGACAGTGCGGAATAGGACCGTCCCGGGACGTAAAGCGCATGACGAGGTTAGTCGATCTATCAGCCGTCTCGAAGCTGTAGAGGCGAGGATCAACAGAAACGGCGTATGGCTTGATAGGCCTATCCGACCTGCCGAAGTAGTCGTCATCTTCGTCGTTGTACCATCGGAACCGGTTCGATTCCCAGACGTAGCGAAGAATATCCTCTAGAACAGGATCTCCATTTTCACGGAAAACGATGGAGTATACTTTTGGGATGTATGTCGCTTTTTCCAAGTCAGGAGGTAGATAGAAACTGGCTGGTTGAATCTTTCTGGACTGGCTTGGGGCAGGTTCCGCAGGCCGAGACGAAATATTAAAAACAGGAGTTTCGAAGGGAGTGGATGGTGGGGGCGGTACGAAAGCTTTAGTAGTATTGAACAGAGACGGGCCCTGCCTTGGTGGTTGTCCGGGATTAGAGCGCATTGTGAGAGTGGTGGTTGAGGTGTGTGAGGGAGCTCGCTCTCTTCCTTCATCGCTTTATAGAATTCAAGAGTGGCTTCTGTGGCCTCCGGTTTCCAAAAGGGCCTTTCAGATGAATGGCCACCATTTGCAAAGGACAATGGGGGTGTCGGATCCAGTGGCCAGTGGCTCGAATTGGTGACTCGCTTTGTCAAATTGTGGCCTCATTATAATTCAGGACACGAGGTAAGAGTTCCGAGGGTTAATTGGTGGCCTACAACGCGGTGAGACTCTGCACATACGAGGTATTACGAGCACGCAGAGCGCAGAGCCTTCAACTCGCCAGCCTCCAGAGGTGAGCGTAAAAAAATATCAACTTTGGAGCGAGGCCACGTTTTGTCGGCTATCCGCGTCACAATGAGCTCGGACCATGGTGGTTCGAAAGTGATGCATATGCAGATGGTCAATTGTTTGTTGTTCTCTAGACTCTGGTTGACAAGCTGGCAACCTATGAGTACTTTAGGTTGATATTGATGATGTTGAAGTTAAGGGAAGAAACCGCCAAGCATTCGGCGCTTGTTTGGCGCAGATTTTCCCAGGGCTGTTTCTTACTTCCGTCATCTCCGTTTACCATCCTTCTGTGAATAATCCGGTTTATCCACCACTTTACGGGGAACGCAGCGCTCTTAGCAATGAGCCCAAAAATACAGGAGCACTTACCAAAACTCCGTGCTCACTAGCTTTCGTCGATCGTGATCCGTAAGGTTCACAGGGAACCTGCTTCAGCACAACACGTTTCGACCTTCGGGTGCCGGTGAACGTGAACTCCAGGATCCTCGCGTGGCAATAGGTATGTTCTGAACCTAGTCATCCCGTTATCAGTTACAATGTGACTCACAACGCCATGCCAGGACAATGTGTCTTGTCTGGATCGGCAAACTACAAGGGCCCGCCCCATCCATGGTGACTGTGCCTTGTCCAACGAAAATTCCATATATTTCGCGGTGACTAGGACCTTGGTCTTATCTTCCGTACCACCATTTACGATTCACCTCAAACCCAGCCTGCGATGTATCATCAGTATTACATGCCGGATTCGTACGAATCGGCGGATACATACTACGACTACACATCCCCGCAGTTGACCCAGCCTGACTTTGACCAACTTCTGCAACAGGCGTCTACGATTGCTGATGCATATCTCCCCCAGCAACAGGTATGTCAGCGGCCTCGCTTTTATCGTGTGCTTTTCACGCAATCTGATGGTGATTGCGCTAGTTGTACCATCCTACTTCCGTTCAACCAGGCTTGCTCGTCAATCACTCAGACGATCGGTTGAAACGCACCGAAGGCTCCTCAACCGTACATCTCTCGCTTTCCACGAGGTCTTATCCTGATAACTTTTACCTTGTTATCAGAACACCCAATCCAACTTCGCCCCTCCTGCGGAAAGTTATCAGGCGTCAACAAGCACACCGAGTTCGGGTTCTCGCAGTCGAGTACGTTGTTCCGCGCCTCACACCTTCCCCATCTCACCATACACGTCTAGTACAAGCGTAGCTGCGAAGACTGGGGTCTCCTCGCGCCAAATACAACGCACAGGCTTTCATGCGACGTCTTGCCCACCCCTCAGTCCATTTTGGACGGGACCTACCATAAGGCTCTTGATCAGCTGCACGATCAAGATGTAGTGGTTTATCTACCACGCAGACCGGAATGGTCTGGCAAACCGTCGGTCCCGAGTATACTGTTCAGCGTCAAGGGGAAGCCTGGTCCTTACTTGAGGGACATATGTAGAGGGAGAGTTGAGATTGATGGTGCATACGATGCTGTGTTTAGTCACTATGGGTTCAAGCAAACGAATATCAGGATTGATGTGAGTGGATAATGTTCTTGCGTCAGCTTCATATACTTATGTTCATTGGGTGATTTGTTTTAGTGGCCTGGCGTTGAGTTGGATGCCGAGACTATTCCGTGCTTTATGCAAGGAGAAGGCACTCCTGTTCATCGCGCGTGGGTGTGTCAGGCGGTAGCTGGCTGTGTGACGGACTTGATGATGCAAGGAAGTTGTGGACGCCTGGTAAGTCTGGAACCTCCAGCTGGTCACTTGATACTCGGCTCACTCTTCCCCTTGACGTTTTGAGAGGTACGGTCCACAATATATTAACAGAGGTACAAAGCCGTGGAACCTGCGACGCATGGATAGTCGTAAGGTTCGGCTGATGGCGATTAACTACTATAAGAAAGTTTGGGTTCCTGTGCTTGCCGTCGATGCTTAATCTTCGACTCAAGGGATTGCTTGCCGCCGTAATAGGGTGGTGTATTACCTAGCAGTACAACTTGCAAGCGCGACTCAAATTTTCATCTTGTGTTTGGCGTCGACGCGTTGATCACGTGGTCCCGAATGACTCGGTGGCTTTTCCTCGAACTCGCATTTCCCACCATGATCATCGTTTCCTTATCTTCTTCGAGCCACCACTTCTCCGTTTTGTGCCACATGTGTCTCCTACAACAATTTCCGCCGGACTACACGTCGAGGAGAAACTTTGTGACACCTGAGATCGCTTGCCGGTGAAATCCCATTAGAGTGAATGTGAGGGCTAAGACAGACGGTCGCTACGGACAATGAGAGAATATTATCGGAGTAGGAGTGTGCGTATATACAAGGTTTGTCCACTAACTTGTCGTCGTCCTAGCATTCTATTCTTCTTCAACGCTTTATCATCGATTAGGTGAATCAACTGCAATTCAATACTACGCTGGGCATTTCCAGAACGCGCATATATGCGCGAGATCTCGGCTCTCTTTGACCTCCACCCTGCGTCGAGACTGACTCTCAGATCCCTCCGTACACACTCACCGTGCGTTAGCGTTTATTGCTACCGAAATTCAGTAGATACTGACACCCATTCTTTCGCGCAACGTAAATTTCGCAGTCTAATATCCGTCTGAAAGTATAGCTCCCATCCATCTCACCAATTTGTTAGGACTTTTCATATAGCTTGCTGGTCTGTTGGCATGTTTGAAGAGCATCGCATGCGCGACATTTTGACAATGGGCAGTCAGGAAGCCCAGGAAAAATTGTGAATTTTTCACAATCGAAGTTCTCAAGGTAAATTTTTACGATCCTCTCAATTCGATGCACATTGAAGAAATAGCTTGTCGGGATCACATGTCTCGGAGGCAGCTCGGAGGTTGAGAGCCGTTTGTGGCTGTGTAAAGCTTGCCCTAAACATTGTTGTATGCTTGATTTGGCAAGCTGCATCTGCCTGATTTCACTTTTCTTTCGACTTGACCGTTCCTCTCGCCTTTCCGTTCCCCTTCGAAGCATTAACTTGCTTCAGCCATTCAGCCCTCCCCGAGCCTTGCATTTTGAGCCTACTCGCTTTTCAAGATGGCATCCCAAATCACTCAGCAGTACGCATGTTAGTACTCGAATTTTTTTGCCGCACGTGCCCGCCGAGAAAACACTTCGTCTGCTCAGCGTTTGGCGCTGTAGCGCTGGCTGAAGGCAGTCAGAAGCAATGTGTTTTTGTTCCCAGAGGCTTTCTTGAACTGCCGTCGTCAACCGCAGTGATCTGACCTGTCTTTTTCTCGCAGTCCGTGCACAAAAGTCCCTAGGCCTCGTCAGCGGGACACCAGATTACATCCCGGTCGCTGGATTTGAATCGCCAGAGGTTCCAGCACGGACATACAACTACAGCGCGGATGGACGGCTGTACGCGTACGCTTTGCCTACCTCGTAAGTTGTCCGCCCCACCTCCTCGTGTCCGTCCCTGTGACAGATGGCACGATTGTATCCCACTTATCGGATCGTTCTTACTAACCCCGATTTTTATAGGGTGAAGATTTTCCAGGCGGAAGGTGCGCAGCTTCTTCAAGAGCTCCAGCTGCCCAACATCGTAGAGGTCAACTTTTCTCCGCGCGGCACATACATCTCCACCTGGGAACGACCCGGTACGTTGATTAGTCTTACAACCCTTTACAACCTGGCTTATGCGAGCAACAGTTAAACTCGAGGACGGATCACAACACAAAAATCTACGGGTCTTCTCTGTGTCAACTGGAGAGGAACTCATCTCTTTTACTCAAAAGTCACAAGAAGGGTGGGATCTTCAATACACCATATCCGAGTCACATGCCATTCGTCTCGTCTCGGGCGAAATACAGGTGTATCGTCCTGCTGAGTGGTCCAAGGGAATTATAGACAAGCTGAAGGTAGAGGGTGCATCGAGTGTCTCCTTGAGCCCGGGGCTCAATCCTTCGGTGGCTGTTTTCGTTGCGGAGAAGAAGGTGCGTCACGATTCCCTCACTTTTTAAAAGTTTTTTCTCATGTCGTCTCATAGGGCGCGCCTGCAAGCATCAAGATTTACGGTCTTCTCTCCCTCAACAGCAATCCTACCTGCCAAAAGACGTTCTTTAAAGCTGATCGGGGACAGATCAAATGGAACACTCTGGGAACACAAGTCCTCCTCCTCACGCAGACCGAAGTCGACAACTCGAACAAAAGTTACTACGGCGAGACCGGCATGTATCTACTCAGTGCCGCCGGTAACTTTGACTGCAGAGTCACTTTGGACAAGGAGGGTCCTATTCACGACTTTGCTTGGAGCCCAAATTCGAAAGAGTTTGGAGTTGTGTATGGATGTGGGTTTTCAGTTTTATGAACACTGCCTACAGGACACTGAGCACTTTTTAAACGAACAGACATGCCCGCCAAAACTATGCTATTCGACCAGCGTGTGCGAACACTGTACGACTTTGGCGCCTCCCCGCACAACTTCATCTCTTTCAATCCGCAAGGCCGGCTCCTCGCGCTCGCAGGCTTTGGCAACCTTGCTGGAAAAATAGACATTTTCGACAGGCGCAACTTTAGTAAGGTGTGCACGATCGATGCGCCCAACACCTCCTTCTGCGAATGGTCGCCGGACGGCCGTTCCCTCCTCACTGCGACCTTGTCTCCTCGCCTGCGCGTCGATAACGGTATCAAGATCTGGCACTGCTCCGGCCCTCTCATGCACATCCAGTCGACGGAGGAGCTGTACCAAGTATCGTGGCGCCCAACCGCTGTGGAAGCGGTACCCCAGTTTGGGCAGAACGTCCCCCCTGCGCCTGCTCCGAGCGAGAGTGTAAAGTCGTTTGCTGCTGTGCAGAAACCGACTCCCTCGAAGCCCGCTGGTGCGTACCGACCTCCCGGTGCCAGGGGCCTAGCGACGCCATCGATCTTCAAACGGGAAGACGAGGGTGGTGCACCTCGTATGCCGACACATGGCGCTGCTACTCCGCCGAGGGCGTATAACCGTAGCCCAGGATCGATCCCTGGTGCTCCTGGGTACGGGCAGGCAACCAATGGGAATGGAGCGCCCCACTATCAACAACACCAGCAGGGCGGGAGGAGGAATGTGCCTGGTGCAGCTTCGCCGCACGCTGGGAGCCCTGGGCCTGAGGGGAAGGGTAACAAGAAGAAGAAGGGTGGGAAGAGGGAGGAGGGTGAGAATGGGAGAGGGTCGTTGGAGATCCAGGTGAATGGGCTCGAGAATGGGCAGGGGCAGGGGCGCGGTGGACCCAACCAGTCCCATGGCCAGGGGAGGGGTGGTGGAAAGAAAACGAACGGGGCTGGTGCTGGTCCGCCTGTACCTGCTGCTCCCCCTGTCGTTGAGGCGGAGACGCCGACGACGCCGGGTGTAGGTCTGGATAGCGCGCTTGACCCCGTTGCGAAGAAGATTAGGAACTTGAATAAGAAGGTATGTTGTTCGCTTTCTTTTCTGTGTCATCATGCCCTTCTGATGATTGATATTCAGCTCAAGGCTATTGATGAGTTGAAGGAGAAAGCGAAGAGAGGGGAGAGGCTCGAAGCTACGCAGCTCAAGAAGATTGAGGGCGAGGCTGATATTCGGAAAGAGCTTGAGAATTTGGGGGGATCGTTCCCTTAGTTCTCTTCTGAATCTTCCTTCCTCTCAGGACTTCTATACGCCGCATATCATCATTTAGTTTTGTTTGGGCTTTTATGTTCTCGTTCCGCTGGGTTGTAGTTGTAGGTCGTTGGATCGATATATTACGTAAACACGATTTAGAGGACGATGATGGTGCGCGATTCTTTGAAGGTGTTTCTCCAATGTTTCTCTGCGCTCTTATGTCCTCGAACCTCGAACGACAAAGGTGCTCAATGATAACTTGAGAGCTGGGACTTGGTTTAATTTGGTGACAATTCAATCGAATACTTACATTATTGCTTACAAGGCACTTCCGTTGCAAAGGGATCAAGGTTGGATCAAGTTTCAGCGATAAACATCAGCGGCATAGGTGAACGTTTGTCATATTTTGAGGTTGGCATGGGAGCTTACGCATCCCTCCGGCCGAACGCGCAGTGGCAGGCAATGGCTGACACGTATGTCCTTGCAACTGAACGCGTACCTTCAGGCGTTCCTCGTATAAAACCGTCAAGGCGGATATGCTTGTCATCCAATCACTCCTTCCAACTTCAAGTTGTATCTTTTCTTGCTTATGATGAACGGCCACGAGAAAACGCGTTCAGACGCTTGCAAGGTTCTGCAGAACGGGACGAAAATTCGCGTACGGCCCTATAGGAAGAAAGACACCGATAGGATTCGCAGCCTCTACAAGTTTACTATGACTGAGGCGCGTAAGTATACTCTTTAACTTCAAGTTGGTATTTAAGGGCACCTCCGCTGACACCTCCCTCCCGTTCTAGGTGGCTCACCGCACAAAGTTATTCTCCGTTCGCAGTTCACCACAACGTCCGCCTTCGTCATGTACGCGCTATTCGTAGCGGGGCTTGTTCTTTCCTTGGACCCAGCGACTCAAAAGCTCGGTGCGATACTTTGCTTGTTGCTCGTGATGGTGTTTGTGGGTTCCCGGCTGTTCATGCACTACATGTTCTCGCACTACGTCCGCAAGATCTATGGTGGCGATCTGGCGAATATTAGTGACGTTTATGGGATGAAGCCGGCCGCGGAGGATGAGGAAGACCTTGTGTCTACGGGTCCTTATGGATTTTGGGTTGCTGAGGCGTTTTCGGAGGAAAGTGATTATTGTGAGATCGTTGGGTACGTCGGATTAAGTGAGTCTTTCGATTTTGAATCAGAATTTTCTCTTTCATTGGTTGACCATCTGTTTGTCTGACAGACTTCAATACGAATAAAGGACCAGGGTCTGGGAAAGATCACACCACATCTGAAGTCCGTCGAATGGTCGTCTCGGACACTCATCGAAGACTGGGCATCGGAGCTGCCCTTCTGCATACCGTCATCGCTCATGCGAAGGAGCAGGGACTGTCGTCCGTGTTCCTTACCACGACGTGTTTCCAGATCCCTGCGATGCGGATGTATGAGAAGCTGGGATTCGTGGTACAGTGGAAGAAGTTCCCCATGTGGTTCATCCCGACGTTTAGTTTCTGGGTCGTGGAGATGAAGTTGGACCTGACGAAGGTGTAGGCTGGATGTCGCGGTGGCCAATGTTGATACCCCCTTGTTAATCGCATTTGCTTTGCCTTGATCGTTTCCTCTTCTGACCAACGCGTAGGGTTTCTCAGGATCCTCAAGTATCAATCAATTATTAAAGTCGGTTGATGTCACGATTGAGTACCTTGCGAGATACATAACATCACGATTACTTCAAAAACAACCGCGAATTGGTTCTGACAAAGCTCACTAAGCTTGCTTACGTCTGTCATCTGATGCGCAAAAATTTCCCGGAAAACATCGACCGGCCGCGGGTTCTCCCTCGAGTCGTCGACCATGTGGATTGGTAAAAAACTTCCATAAGCCCATTGACTCGATGGTCAGACCCATAGATCGGAAGGCGCAAGAGGCTAACGGCGCTCACAACATTCGCGTCAGGCCATTTCGGGATGGTGACGCGCAAGAAGTACGCGATCTTTTCATGCTCGCCATGGCATACGCTCGTGAGTCGTTCATTTGGGTTCCTAGTAAAGATTCGACTCTGATGCGAGTTCCTTGGGACCTTTCCCAGCCGGGTCTCCAAGACATACGGCCCTTCGTGCTCAGCTCACACACCCCTCGTCCATTGTCATGTACGCTCTATTCATGGGGGGCCTTGCTTTGTCGCTGAGCTCAAGCACTCGGGTCATCGGCTCTGTCCTGTGTTTGTCCCTCTTCGGAACGTTTGCGGGGCTACGATGGTTATTGTCCAGATTCTTCGTCTCGTACTGCGAGAATAGCCTGAGAGCCGACTTGGTCGACATCGGGAAACACTACTGTGTCCCGGAGTCAGAGGGGACAAGGAACGCGCCGAGTAGTGCCAGCTCTTTCTGGGTCGTTGAGGCGTATTCTGATGTAACGGAATATTGTGAGATAGTTGGGACGGTGGGATTGGGTACGTCAAATCAGCTGTTCTTTGGCTCACTTCTCATCATCAATTTACCTTAGACTCGAGCACGAATGACGACCAGACTACCGCAGAACTCCGGAGGATGACCGTCTCGCCTCACCACCGAAGGCTAGGCATCGGGCAATTGCTATTGATCACCCTCATCGCTCACGCGCGGGAACGGGGGCTGTCTTCGGTATTTCTCACGACGACTAATCATCAGGCTCCTGCTATTCGACTGTATGAGAGGATTGGTTGGGTCGTCCAGCGAAGAGCTGCTGTTTGTAGACTGCTTCCGACGTTTGAGCTTGCTCTTGTTGATATGAAACTCGATCTGACGAGGGACTAGAGTTGTATCTACAGAAGCCAATTAGCACAGGTCACGGTTTTCAAAATTTTGTCATCTATTGAAAATAGTTGAGGTAGGCAGAGTACATTTTGGATGATCTGGCAGTGACTGGCAGACCAGAAGGGCGAGTGGCCTCGGCAAGATTTTCCACCCTACGACCTTTCCTGCCAGGCAGGATGAAGGGGCTCCCCAAAACATTGAAGTTACGCATGGCATCTCGCAGACAACATTTCGTAGGGTTCAAGATAATATACACCTACTTATATATGATCCACTTGCTTCCATCGGGGGAATTTCATGCTGATTTGGAAAGAAAAATTGCGGGGAAGTGTTAAAATTGTCGTGACTTTCGGGAGTCGGGGATCAATATTGTTTCTTTGAGTGTTTTTACTCTTTCCAGGCGCTGTTGGAAAGGTTCTCTACAGTTCTCTACATACGATCAGACGAACCTTGCCTGATTGTCCTTTTTTGCGGAATATGAAACAACCGAGGCAAAAAAGGCAAATCTATCGACGTCGACCCATTACATATGCAAATGTCACCCTTCTGGGAAAAACTGACTGAGGGAATAAAATAAACGAGAACGTATCGGTGGAATTTCTGTTTTCCACCTCTTGTCGCAATCTTCGCATATACCATCCGGCACTGGTCCGGTCCAGTAGTCCTCGTTTTCTTCCTCTTCCTCTATCTTCGTCAACATTTTTAGCATCTCGAGCAGGTCGGCATTTCTCATCATTCTGCGGTGTGACTCTACCAATCTGGCTGTTATGCGAAGGTGGCAATCGTGATTTCCTGGACAGGGCCAATCCTCGAATTCGCGATTGTCAAATTCCTCCATGATCGATATCATCATGTCAAGGCGGCCTCGTTCGATGCAAAGTTCATCCTGTTGAGATAGCAACGACCATCTGGCAGTGGTGCTGGGCGGATCGCGGAAAACCTCTCTGGCATCTCCTACGTCTTCACGGCGCAAAGTGGACAACTGGTAGAACACAAGAGGTAGAAGTGTGGGGTCAAATAAACGCGCGACCTGGATAACAGATGCAGGGTCTGGAGCCCAACGACGCGGCTGACTTTTCTCCTGAAGTTTGAAGCGAGCACGGTATTCCTCTTGCTTTTGATCCCATTTTTTGAGAGATTTTGGCCAGTCGAGACGAATGTGGGACAGGATTATTTCCTTCAAGGGCTCGACCATAAATTTGTCCGCAAGTTTCAAGACGCCGAACATGGTAAACGCGGCGTCGGGTTCATCCTTCGCTATGGGTGGTGTACTAAGTTACCCAAGAATGAATTACTCGGTTTAAAATCCACAGTAAATCGACGTACAAAGGTTCATACAATATTGTCAAAAACTTGGCCATGTCCTCGGGATTATCATTCACCTCCACAAAAGGGACTCCGTCGTAGAACTCCTGAGCATCCGCCGGGGGCCCAGGAAGAGTGAACATGTCCTTGAACACCTGAGAGTGTTTACTGAGGATGGTTTGATGAACCCGAAAATATATTCGGTCTGTCTTGTTGGCTGCATCCTGAGCGACGATAACAAAATTTCCGTCGTGGAAGTATAGCTCTGGATGATGAAGATTGGAGGAGCTGGTTCTCTCGTCTATCATGAGTGCAGGTCTTTTCTATTAGAGCGAAGAACCACGGCGAAGAACAGATATTCAACGCACCCACGTGATCAATCACAGTGAGATACTTTCCCACCACAATCAACGCACTCTCAAACAGCAAGCATCTTGTCTGTCATATTTCAGTACAAAATGAATTTTCAGGAGTCTTTCGTGTAGTATTAACGAGAAATGAAATGAAAATGGGATAAAATCTGTGCTCCTATGAATATCACTCTTCAGCTTCGATCTCATTCGAAAACTAGGAATTCGAGCCCCCGTCACAACAGCTGTATGAAGCACCATTAGTTTCCTGCATATTCAGGCTCTCATCCTCATCATTCTTCACCTTTGATATATTTCGAAAAACTGGTATCGTTTCCAGCTTTTTTTTGTACGACCACAAAAACCCTCACGCGCACTCTCTTCGTTCCGGGGGGGATTTCATGCTTTGGGAAGGGAAATTGCGGTGACGTGTTCGGAATTATCATGACTTCCGGGTGTCCTGGTATTTTGACTGGGTCAATCTCGAAGCCCTGTCATTCTTTTTAGGTGCTTCCGACCAACCATTTCATTAATCGCGGCCCAATCGTCTATGTACTATGAATGCTTGCGCTATTATGAAATCTTATGTAACAACCGAAGCAAAAAATTGACATTGACCAGCTATGAAAATGTCATTCTGTGGGGAAAAAAGAACTGAGGGAATCAAATAAAGCAGCGCGTATCGGCGGAATAGATGATTTCCATGTCTTGTCACAATATTTGCATACACCATCTGCATCCATCTTTGTCAACATTTCTAGCATCTCGAGCGGGTCGGCATTTTTCATGATCCTGCGGTGTACTCTTACCAACCTGGTTTTTGCAGGAAGGGGGCAATCGCGAATTCCCATGTTGCAAATTCGATTCTTGTTGTCAAATTTGTTCACGATCCATATCATCATGGCAAGGCGGCCTCGTTCGATGCAAAGTTCATCCTGTTGAGATAGCAAAGTCCATCTCGCAGTAGTGCTGGGCGGATCGCGGAAAACCTCTCTGGCATCTCCTACGTTTTCACGGCGCAAAGTAGACAACTGGTAGAACACCAGCGGTAGAAGTGTGGGATCATAGGAACGCACGACCTGTATAACAGATGCAGGGTCTGGAGCCCAACGACGCGGCTCGCTTTCATTCTGACGTTTGAAGCGAGCACTGTATTCCTCTTGCCTTTTATCCCATTCCGGAAGAGATTTTGGCCAGTCGAAACGAATGTGAGACATGATTAATTCCTTCAAAGGTTCGACCATATATTTGTCCGCAAATTTCAACATGCTGAACATGGTAAATGCGGCGTCGGGTTCATCCTTCGCTATGGGGGGTATACTAAGTTACCCAAGAATGAGAACCCTCAAATACTCGGTTTGAAAACCACACTGAATGAGTCGACGTACAAAGGTTCATACAAGATCGTCAAAAACTTGGCCATGTCCCCAGGGTCATCATTCACCTCCACAAAAGGGACTCCGTCGTACAACTCCTGAGCATCCTCCGGTGACCCAGGAAGAGCGAACATATCCTTGAACACCTGAGAGTGTTTGCCAAGGATGGACTGATGAACCCGAAAATGTACTCGGTTTGTCTTTTTGGCTCCATCCTGAGCGATGATGACAAAGTTTCCGTCGGGAAAGTATAAATCTGGATGATGAATATTTGAGAAGCTAGTTCCGTCTCCCATCGTAAGCACAGATGTTTGACAAGATGAGCAACGCGGACTCGCAATCCGAATCAGATTTGTAGGAATGGCGCGCCATCAATTTCTTAAAAGCCCGCTATGAAACAAGCCATAGAACATTCAAACCCCTTTTTCATGCCCAGGGTACCATATAATTTATATAGACTCAATCGCGTGAATTTTGTTTGTTGCAGCAGAACAGGCCCCTACTCTCCCGTTTGCACAGTACTTCTAAATATTTGAACTTCATATATCCCTAATATATCCCTGAAATTCATCTTGCATGCACATTATGCACTGGCAGGGAACCGCTCAATCAATGTTTATAGGTGTCCGTGCGATGTTTTAAACCACCACTGTATGTAGCACCATCTATTTCCTGACTATCCAAGCCCTCATAATTTCTGTTCACCTTTAGAATATTCCGCAAAACTGGTATCGTTTGTTTTTCTACGAAACCTCACCTCGGCCCGACCCGCGGCCTAACTGGGCATGACGTCACCCAAGTAACGATTCCGATCATATGCATGATCGAGACCCTACAATGAAGGTTCTGCAACACGTTCCCTTTTCGATCCAGAATACAGTCATAACTGACAGTTATGCACATACGTGGATCGCGTGCGTGTCGGATGTTCGACGATCATCTACAGCTGGTAGCATAGACATGACCTCGAAATACTAACGGAAAGTGACTCAGAATCAGAATACGGAAGTTTGATAGCAGCCGAGTCATGGGACTGATTACCATCATCACTTCCTTCCCACGTTCCCAACAAGTACCTTCCATTTTGGGAGTTGACGCGTTGGCGATTTGCTTTGTCCTTCTGTTTCTTTTGCTTTGTCTTCGCGCTACGTCCACATGGCGAGATGTTGATGTCCGTCTGTTGATCTATGACATTTGGAAGGAGGGGACCTGCGGCTAGGAAGGTATCGATTTGATTGGATGGGGAGATCTCGCGGGCTTACTCTGGAAGAACTTGTGATTGAAAGAGGCGTAACGTTAACGTACACGCAACGAGGCCACAGCAGCCCTTTTTCAGGTTTTCAGGTCTTTTTCAGCCTATCAGTATCAAGGGTTCCGTAGGCTCCTTCCTTCCTGATCAGAACGTAAAGTTCGGATTTAAAACATGAGGACCTCTTGAAAATTTAGGGAATGCACGTTCGTATGTTGTGTGTATGTACGTGCACGCAAACATTTACTTACGGTCTCTCAACAATTTATTTCTATTGAATTTAAGGATCGTACTTGACATGAATGCACGCGCACACACCCTACAGAAAAAAATACACATTTCCAATCGCTCCGAGTTCCTGAACGCGTGGTATCAGGCAGAATTGAATGTCGGAATAGGCTTCATTTGATACCCTTCCTAGATACGTTTCTTGGGTGGACCCTGCACTGGAGCTCGAGGCGCGCCCCGTTGCCAATATCCACACGGAAGCATAACATCGAGAAGTCTGCAGTTGGTCTGCAGTGCGTTGAGTGGAACACATAACAATGGCTAGTATATTGCAGTACTATATGGATAGGTTATGCGCAATTGAAGTGGGAGTCTATGGTAATGTTACAAGTACAACAGTGATGGGATGAGTGATGAGTATGATGAGTAAATGCTTGTCGTCGTGGTGGGTCGTTTTAATATGCTATGAGGTCGATAGTGATACCAAGAATCAATAGAAAAACGCAATAGAAACGGAAACGAGAGAAGTGGAACTCGAAGGAGGAGGGAGCGATATACATGCACGTGACCGCCGGGTATTCGATCGTCCGTCCATCCTTAGCCTACGCCTCGACGCTGACGACGCTCGAAAGCCCGCTCTTAACGTACACCTTTGGCTGTTCGCTCGCATAGGAGAACTGCCTACGTGGGCGGCCCACTGCGTGGATGCGGTTAAGCAGGATGCCAGCTACCAGTTTCGCTTTTGCATCTCTGTCTGTAACTGGAGGGGAGCTACGGCGCTGGGTGGGAGCAGCGGGTATTTGGATGGTGTAGTGCTGCGGGGCAGGAGGAGGTGTGAGTGGGCGTGAATTATTAGGCGTAGGTGAGGTTTTGTATGAGGCCCCTGAGCGGGTGGTTGATAGTTGGGGGGCGGGGGATGGAGTGGGGTCGTCAGCGAAGGGGTCGAATTTGAATGGAGATGATTTAGGAGAAGTGAGAGAGGAGGAAGGAGTGGCGGAGAGTTGTGATGAGGCTGGTCTGCGGATGGATGACGAGCGGCGTCTTCCTACGACTGGCGTGGTGATTAGGCCAGGAGGGTACTTTTGTGTTGAGGGCGGGGGCAACTGTTGTTGTTGTTGTTGTTGCTGTTGGTGGTGGTATTGGCTATTGAGCAGGAGGTTCGCATGTGGGTGATGAGCAGAACGAGCTGCGGCCCATTTCGAGTGAGAGGAGTGAGGGTGGGCGGACGTGAAGGAGGTTTGGATGGTTCGAATGTAGTGTACGGGAGAGGAAGACATTAGTTAGCGTGATAATGATTACAGAGGGCAAGAAAAGTGTGCGTGGTGAGGAAGACTGGCTGAAAACCGTGGGCTTATATCGTCTGAGGGGACGGAGTGATGACCTAGATTTTGTATGCCGATCAGGGCATGAGGCGATGTGTGTCACGTGTCCAATCTGACGGATTCCGATTCGGTTACGACATTATTGTTTTTGTCCTAGCCCCAATCTAGCCCCCCTCCCCGCGCATATCGTTGTACTCAACAATACCAGTCAAAGTACAAAGTACATTGTCCTTGTGCGCCTAGGCGTGTCATCGGCGTTATAGTGATTAGATTCCCTCAATCCACGACAAGGTCTTGACTTTTTCCCCCGAAGAGCCGCCGTACGTTGCCAGAGTCTCAGGCTGTGTGTGGACGATAGATAGCCTAAACAGCAGACTTAACTACACCCTATCAATGACGGTCACAAGGTCAGTAAAACCCCACCTTTTCTTTACTTAGAATTTGACTTACATACACTCAAGTTGTAACAGAAGAACCCCTTCCATTTCCTACCGCAACAACAAACCTACATACAATGATACAGCGTTCTTCTTCTTCACGGCTGTCACCCATCCCTGAGGTAACCTTCAACTCCCAATGTTACCCACTCCCCCGACCAAACACCCCTGCACCGCCGCTATTGTCTATGCGCCTTCGGGGGTATCAACGCTTAGTCCCATGACATGCTCTTCTCCGATCCCGACCGCCGAATCTAGGTTTGCACTGGGTTTGGGCTCGATGATACATGGCTCTGAGAGGTGAGTGCCTAGAATCGTCACCGTACCCGACGCACTCGCTCACTGATCAGTCATGAAGCTCCGAATCCTGACGCTGACAGCGGGCTCGAACTTCGGCCTATTAGCCTGTCTCGCCAAGCTTAAGGACCCATCACAACATCCCTGTTTCACCTGTCTTGTTCTCGATCGTATGTAAGCGCTATCTATCTCTTTTCAGTTCAACTCCCGTAAATGCTTCGGCAGATGTATGCGTGATCGGGATAAATTTTATACATAGGTGCGCGTATCATTTGTGGATCATCCTTTTCGAGCAACTCAACGTGACTTGAGGCGATTGAGTGTGTCTCAGTCGTGGTGCTAGACTGAGTACGGCCCGTCACTCTGTTGCCATAAGCGTTGCTGACGTTGTTGGCATCGCCTTTCAAGAGCGCTCCCGTCCGTTAGGTGCACCACATTGGCATTTTACGCTCAGGAGTCGTCCGAGAACTCGCTATCGCTATTAGGACCTAGGTTGTGCCTCGGTGGCGCTGGAAGGCCTTCGAATTCAAGGGCCATCTCGAGGAAGCATGTACACCTTTGTACACCTGGCTATATGCGCCATAGTGGTGACTCCAGTCGTTCACTCCATATAGATACATACCCACGGAATGGCGTGGGCGTCGCAGGTCCCTCGTATAGGCATGACTGATGGCTGCAGCCGTTCAAGTCCGTTCAAGTTGGTGGCGGTGGCTGCTCACGGACATCTAAGGCCTTCACCGTCAATTCCCGAGCTCCGGCGCCTTTCTTTTTTTTTCTCAAGAAGGTAAGTAAAATTGGTTATCTTTATGCGCCTCAGACTCAGCATGACACGTTGTATCGAAGCTTCGGCGTGATATCGCCCTGAGGGAAGATTCCCGTTGTTCGCTCCATCTAAAGAATAAGGGCTGGATGGAGTGGTCGAAGAACTTGATGTGTGGCTGGAGCTGATCGAGCCCTTTGACTTTGAAGGATGGTCGGCGACTGTATGCGCACCTCGAAGTTTTGGTCTTGGTATGAGTATCATTTTTATCTTGTCAATGTCCTGACCGCTCATCATTCTACTCAATCAATGTCAGGCTCGCTCATATGCAACTTCAACGTGACTATGTACGGATCTTCGCTTTCACCCGTTGGAATGATGTCATGCCATTGTCTAGTCTCTAAACGTCCATTATACTCTAACCCCCTGGATAACGCGAATATTGGGCTCACAGGACCTAGAAGAATAAAGTAACGGAGCCGGCAAAAAATGATATTTTAGGGAAGATGTCTTGTCAGAAAGGTATAGTATTCGAGTTGTGTATAATGTGTGGTCACCTGTAAAGACTTCTATCTTCAGCCATGTCGTTATTCGTCGTCTTGCTCGCCGTGGAGGTCTGAAGGGTGGCGACTGTAGGCGCTCCTTGACGCTCTACGTGACTTGTTTCGAAGTTTTGGTCTTGGTATGAGTACATTTTCATTTTGTCGATGTCCTGACCGCTCATCAGGCTACTTAATCAATGTCAGGTTCAATATCAATCGCTCATATGCTTTTCAACGTGACTACGGATCTTCACTTTCAATCCGTCGGAATGATGTCATGCCATTGTCTAGTCCCTAAACGCCCATTAGAACTCTCTTGGATAACGTGAAGATTGGAGCTCATAGGACCTAGAAGAATAAAGTACGGAGCCGGCCAGAAGTGACATTTCAGGGAAGATGTCTTGTCGGAAAAGTATGCTCGTCGACTTGTGTATAATGTGCGTCACCCTTAACGACTTCTATCTTCAGCCACCCAATCGCGCGAAGGAAGAATCCACTTGCCGCTCCAACTTTGACTTTGGACTCATTGCAAGGATAAAGTTGACCCCATTGGTGCTTATACTTAGACTTGGTGGTTAGATACGTATGAACCCCAGGCCCCGTCCAATGAACAAGGTAGCTATTGATCCTTTCACTCCTTCTCTTCCATTCTTATTTATTATCACCGAGGCTGGTACAAACCCCTCTTGTTGTGAATTTAAAGATGTACGACCTAACAAGGTGCGTACGTTCGATTGACCCTTTCTGTTCCTTCTCTCCATTCTCATTTCTATTCTCATAGACTAGACGAGCTTGTGAAAACTCCATGGTGAAGGCTACCCAACAAGGTACCTAGGTTCGATTGACCCTTCTGTTCCTTCTTTCTATTCTCATGACTTCTTCAGACTGTGGTCCCATGACCTGTGTCCACTTCTGGATCTTGACGGCTGGATCTCGGCTTCATTTACTTTGACGGTACGTGAGTAGGGATCTAGATAAGTGGTACCTCCGTGATCACTTTTAACTTTCCAGGAATGGACGAGTACACGAATGCATAGAAGGTGAAGGTGCCTCGTGTACTCCACTGTATCCCAGGGAGCGCGACTTTTGGCTCCATGGTTTTGCAATTCCTACTTTATGGTCTACATAGAACCACTGGAATCACTCAAACAACATAGGGGTCTATACGAGCGCCAGTGCTCGCATGCACAGCACCGTATGTGTAGAAGGTTGCGAGGGTACTGCATAGGCCTGGACGACTTGAGCATAGGACATAGCATAGGGAACCCGGACGACGAATGCTGCACAATCGCCCGGACGAGTATCGCACAGTCGCCCGGACAAGTACCCAAATTTGCCTTCGCAAGTACTGCAAAGGCGTCATTCGGGGATCGACGTTCATCACCTAGAGCGTGGAGATAAGCATGTTTCTTGGCTGTGGTGACTACAGAAAACATGATACGATCGCTTTCAAGTTCCGCGTAGCTATAGGATGCCTAGTGAGGCCACGACAAGCACCGCTGGATAAGCCTCATACACCCATCAACAGTCATCGCCTACTATAGAGTGGAGATAAGCGTGGTTCTTGGCTGTGATGGTTTGATCGCTTTCGCCCATACATCCGGTTCTCCAATTCCAAAGGAGGAATCTGTACCTGAAGTTAATGGACTGTGTATGTTTTGGGCACGTCTCCATCCTGTCGGGCGCGCCTGCACTCTTTGGGGCAAGTGGGAGCCCGTACTTACTCGGGTCTGGCGATCTACATGTACTATATGGTGTGAGTACCGCCAAGGTCCATTGTTACTTTCGTTCTGACGACGAACATGCAGTCAGATCTTGGTCATCAGACTTGAATGTTGAAGAGAAAGTCCTTTTTGGGTTATCACGCCCGTCGTAGCTGTCGACCACTTTACCGACCTCGGGAGTCAGCTAAACGTGGACCTGTATCTCGCGATGGTCAACTTCGCGCCACTGTCACGGCGATCGCCTGGCACACAGGATATCCGCGTCTCTTTGGGTTGGGAATGCACATCAATGACTACTACCCATTCGCGTTAGTTCGACATCACCACTCAAAATTGTTTCAGGCTTCCTTTCTCCCTCTTCATCGCCTGTTACCCCACATCACGATCACGACAGTCGGTGCCCGTGCTAAGTGCACACGGGCTCGTTCGTCAGACGATGTCTAACATCAATCTACTCATCGAGACGAAACTGCATGGACCATCTTTTCATAGCGGCGAAGTGGACCACAGTACTACGATACCCTCATCGAGGCAAAAGTCCACCTGTTCTTCATTGCGGCAGATCAACCCATCATAGCAAAATCACGCCATCTCTCCCAACCACCTGTTCACCACAGAATCCTTGCGCAATCTCCTTCCTCATCACGGCAAATGCCTGAACCAATCATCGCCTTTATCTCAATTGACGCGGCAAAAGCCTAATACTTTGCCTTGTGCACGGGTTCAAAAACATCAGGCATCTAACCACGAGGGTACGCCACTTGAGGAGACCATCCCTTTCTTGTCTTGGCTGGGGTTTGAGTCTTGAGATGGGGGCTCGTCAAATCCTGGATGGAAGAGGCCTGAGATTGAATGTTTGGAAGATCAAGACGAAGGTCGTACGACTTTAAATTCCTAGCCCAGCCTCTAAGGGTGTATGCTTTGAGAGTGGGATTGATAGGGGCTGCGCATGAACATCGCATGTGGGTTCAGAAGGACTTGAGTTGTCTTTCTCAGTCGATGGAAGGATCACACTCGTGATCGTATTCATTGACCCACCGTCTGTCTCTGCGGCACCTTTCTTTCTCCCCAGGGATTCAAAACGAAAGCGCTAGGTTTTCATCTAAGAGGCCCTCCCACCCGAGCTACTACGGACTTGGATCAACTTCCACCTTCCACTGCGTATGCGTTCACCAAGACGTATGTTGTGGTTCTGGGAACGCAAGTCAAATATCCATCCACCAGATTCTCACTTGTCGCCAATCAAATCAATTTTTTTGACTTGACAGAATACAGGGAATGTTGGGCAAGAGGTCCGAGGCTATGAAGCTTGATTCCAACATCCAACGAAAACTGTTCAGTTCTGTCTATGCCAGAAATCCGCAATGTTTCCCGGAAAAGCATGCCATCCCATGGTCCCCTTCCAAATTGTGACATTGGGATTGTTATCTTTCCCTTGCTTTCTACCTGGCCTCGGGGCATGTGGGGCTTTTTGTTGAGTTGAAGGCGAGGCTTAGTTTCGGCTTGAGGACTCGTCCGGACTTGATTGTCGGAATGACACTTCAACACAATGCCGACCTCGTACTTTGGTTCTTTGGCTGTTCTCCTTCGGCTACGTGTAGAACTGGTCTCTGCCCGAGAATACTGCGTGTAGAAGCGCATCCTGTGCTTAAGTTCTTGGAAGTTTCATACGAGCCTTTGACAAGTTCCACTTTGATATTTCCAGTCCCTCTTCAGCAAGGTTGGATTCTCCAGCTCCCATGGCACTTTACCCTCCCCCGTCGACTCTCGCGTGGTTCGCATTTGGTCCATGACGGCTTCTTTTCACCGCTGTTGGACTATTTTCTCTTGATCGTGAGGTCCACGTTTACAACCCCCGATCGATATCGCCGTTCCATATTGATATGATGCCAATGGCATGCGGGATCACACGAGGATTTCGATTGCATTATCAAGATGACAATACAGATGTCTATCTTCCAGCCTTGTCATCATTCGATCATAAATTTTGGGCACTGGCTGCGACTTACTTGAATCGTAACAGAGTGCTTCTGATAGTTTGGTCGTCGGTTCCGGACGTCCACCATAAGGCTCCGCCATTCTCTACCTTTAGCATGGTTCAGTGCTCTCGTCCTTTGATTGGCGTGGCACAACTGTGTCGATCATTGTAAGTTCGCAAGCTTATATCAAGGCCGCATTGGCGCCCCTTTGGCAAGTCTAACCCGCCATGGAGTTCTGTTATCTCTGAACCCTCCTCCGTTCCTCCCGCGGCCTGCGTCGCTCGAGTTAATCTATCATCCATCACATCTTCACACTGATCGCGGTTCTTCATCCCCCGTGGTATTTTTGGCGAACATTACTCTCCCATTTTCTCATTCGCTTCCCGGCATCACTGACCATATTTACGTCACGATTGCATTCCATTCTAAATCATCTTCCTGAAATTTACCAATTGCCTTGTTATGTCTCCTCTGTGCCTCCTTCGAAATTTCAATGGGCAGCGGGGGAGATTCCCCTTGAATCGAACAGCGGAAGGCATGCATGTTACAAATCGGCACGATTTGTCCGGTTGCCTCTCGCAGAGAACCGGCGGCCGACGTCACCACGTTGTTTAAACGACAGAATAAGCGGCCAGAGATCACTCGCCTAGAGACAGGGTCGCAGAACCATTTAGTAGTTGGCGTGGTTTGGCTACATGACCCCCTTAATACCATCGACAAAAAAGTGGATCACAAAGCAGGGCAAAATTTTCCAGGAATGACGCTGCTGGATATATGGGGAGCGACCACCCCAGGACACTGGAGTTGGTGGCTTCATTGGTATGGCCATGTTACATGCATGTTCAGCCGTTTTGTGTTCTATTGTACAGCTCCGGATCCGACCTCCCTTCCGCAACCCTTGACTGGTTGGGTAGTTCCCCTCTGGACCTGCGGATCCGTCCCCTCCTTCATCGGTGTGATTCCTCGAAGATGCGTAAGGTCAATAACACTTTGCTGCTGTACTTGGACTGTACTTCGGTGGAGTTCTTGGTCCAGGTCCTAAGCTCACGTCCATAGTACAGCTCTGCATCAATTTAGACAGGGTGGATGGCATTCACTGACGATTTAGAGAATGTATGTTTTACCAATAATTGGCATACCGCTGTGCTCCACAGAAAAAAGAGACTACGGCTCATGACTGCGAAAGTCTTGATTATTCCAAAGATTTCAAGGCAGCATTTGGTTGCCGAAGCATCACGGAATCCCCTAGTAAAAGGCGAGGGGATTGTCTGCTTGATGTTTCGGCTGCTGCTGAAATATAGAACTTTGTTTGGTTGCGTAGAAAATGATTGGTGCATTTTGTTCAGCTTGCGGGGTTCGGGATTTTCGCGCCCATAATCACAAACGTTATCACTCTTTTACCCACCAAGCTTTCGTCAAAGTTGTTGTGGTCGCATGGACCAGTATCTGGAGTCATAGGACATAGTGCACCTCTAGGTTCTAGAAGGTTGAAATAGCTTAAGCGAGTCAAAATTGAACGTCGTAAATTGGTCATATATATGTATCCTAAACAAATCACCGCAGACCTCAAAAACAACAACAACTTGAAGGAAAACGGCCTGTCTATGTCCTATTTGACGAGAAGTCGAGTTGGAAACGTGAAGAAATTCTTTATAAGGACATACAAGGCTGGGAAGGTTGGTACTCCACGGCGCATTCTAACTTCTAAGGGGAGACTAAAAATCTATCAGTACTTAATCTATATATTTCTCGTAGAGAGCAAGCGCTGAGAAGTCTTGTTTCTCAAATAAATCTGCGATCTTTTGTGCAGCATACTCGCTGTCAGCCGGAATGGCATTGATTAACTTATTTAACCTCTTGTCGTCAGTGTACTCAAAGTACGCAAACGATCCTGTGCAGTTTGTTCCTCCAGTGGAGGATCCGATGCCCCCACTTCATCTCGCCTTCTTTCGGGAGAATGGAACCAGTTAAGGTATGCGGCTCGGCTCCTTCCCCCACTATTCCAACATTTGGCAAACACGTTAAATATAAAGTTGGTACACGGGGGTCCGCTAGAGTATCCTTGTCCCTGGGACCCCCCAGGGAGATTGTTGAAAAGGGTTGAATACCCATAGCCAGTGGGCATGCCACCGCAGCATGCTCCACCGTTATCGATACACCCAAATGAGGAGCCGCTGCAGGTATTCGTAGAGGAGTAGGCATTGTAACTCAAGGACAGGGTCGGTAGAGGGAGAAAGGAGAGTGTGGCGAGAACTGTGATGAGTTTGAATGTCATGGTGAATGAGCTACGGACTTTTATCTGCAGACAGTGGGTGGTTGAGTTGTTTGACTGGTTCTTTCAGTAAAATTGGTCGGGTTCTTACACTCCTGCGGAGAATGCTCTATTCCGGCGGCAGCGCCACGCTCACGAATTATTCTGAATGCAACTCCATGCGCCTACGATATCTGCGAGTTTAAATTGTGAGCATTCGGACAGTGGATGCTTCCTGTTACGAAAATAAGGCCCACTACCACCTTTTTTGAATTTGGTTTTTCCAACACTGTGGATGAAGTCATGATAGTATACGTATGATGGTCGGCCGCGTCCAGCTTTCGAAGCCTATGGGTAACTTGAAGTCACGTATGACTGTGCGTGCGGTGAGGTTGGGAGTTAAGTTTGAATCAAACTTCAGGCGGCGCGAGGAATTCCTCCTGACTTAGGTATAACGATCTCCGAGAACAACGTACCTTGGTATCAATCTCCATCATCACCCGACTTGACGATATGGAACGGAGAGTTTATCCTGTAAAATTGACTCGTAACCCCTTCAAACCCTTAGGTGTTGAGGCCAAGCATCAAGACTCGGACCAAACTCGGACGCACCCAGACTTTTACAAACTCCGTCGTCACCAGGTGCCGTGCTGTCAATTACAGTGCCTTGCATAATGCTTTGCAGCGTGAATTTTTTGAAATTGTATTTGGCTGTGTTTAAACTGGTCCTGAGATGTCACATTCAGGCTTATTCCGGACATAGATCATTTCGTTGGGCCTTAGTTGTGACATATCAGGTTCACTACAAATATAATCAAATACGATTTGAAAAAATTCATGCTGCAAAGCATTATGCAAGACACTGTAAAGCTTACAGGAGGCAAACGGCAGGCAGCGTTTGCGCTAGGACAGCTGAGTGAAAGAAAATGGGAGGCTCGGAACCAATCCAGATTCAAGTTGGAAACAAAACAAAGACATCTTGTAGCGAAGTATTTGCTGTTGTTTGTTGATGCCATGCTAAGTATGCCGTGTCAATTTTGCTCAGCCCTCCGAGTCTCAACAGCCTTGTCTGCAAGTCCCATGGAGGCATACCGACATGGACGTGGAACTCAGGTTTTTGCCAGGTCTTTAAGTTTCGCAATTAAACTCTGACACACGCCCCCCCTTAGCCCTATTGACTGGAGTCTTGACAGTGTCGATTTCAAGTCACTGTCGACGGTGACTCTGGTGAATCACAAATTGAATTTCGCGCCGTCCAAGGCATTTTTAGGCATCAGACGAAGAAATGGCTCTGCGATCCAATCCACATCTTGGATTTTCTTCGGCAAGATCGGGAAAGCTGTCTATCCTCCGAACAATGCGCGCCACTGTAATCCCCACTTTGAACGCAATTTATTTCAGTTATTTTTCCATCGATGGCACCCAATCCCTTTGCCAGTCCTCACGCCGGAAAATAATCTCTCCAATGCATGATCATTCATCCACCAGTTGGTAAGGTTTTTGTGTCAAATACCACGACCTATCCGACCTTGGTTGGTCCTTACTGTATTTGGAACTACAACAAACGTGGACCAAACTTCGATGGGTCCGATATCAAGGCTGTGTATAGGGATCTATCCAAGACTCTCACATTCGCATTCTTGCGCCAACCTCAAGCAGAGTAGGGCGTTCATGGTGGGTCGCTTCACGCAGGTTTCAATTGAATCTTGGGCTGATACGAAGTTCAGATAGTAATCCGATGCTCAAAGGCCTACGTCGAGACAAGAATCATTCCCTCCCCCCACTCCGAGTCCCTCCGGATGTGTTGTACTGCCCATACCTTCCTCAAGAGCTCGTCGACAGGGTGATTGAATACTGCGCCTGGAATGAACGCACCTTGCTCGCTTGTAGCTTAGTGAGCCGAAGCTGGGTTACGGCTAGCCGCCGATATCTCTTTCGCATTATATGCCTCCACACACATACTTCCGTGGCTGCGTTTTTGCGCCTCATAGTATCATCCCCTCATAACATCATACCTTTCGTTCGAAAACTGGACATCATGGAACTCGACTCGAAAGCATGGATGCGTAGTCTCTTCCATCGACTCCCTTCTTTCCCACATCTAGAATGCGTTTCAATGCAGATGGTTCCGAACTCGTACCATTTCAAATGGGGATCTCATTTGTCTAAAGATATTCGCATAGCTTTCACCAACTTGTTCGTTGGCATCACGAAGCTTGAGCTGAGCGCCATGTTCTCGTCGTTTTACGAACTTTGTGAACTTATCTGCTCATTTCCTCAATTGCGGTCTCTAGTTTTGAATGGTGCAAACTGGCAAACTTACTCGGCTTCTGACTCGATTTTGACTATCCCAGCTCTGCGGGATCTATCCCTTGGGAGGATTACATCGAAGCAGGTGCTAATAACCTGGATTTTGACAGGGAGTGCTAAGGAGGCGTTGCTATGTACTCGGAGTACTCGATTCACATCCATTCGAGAGACCGAGGCTCCTGCGGTTGCAACATACCTACATGCCATCGGCCCCTCCTTGGAGAGTCTCGAACTAGAATTCTCTGGCCGAGAGGCATTTTATACAGTGGAAGCAAATAACCCGAAATTGAAGGTTCCACACCGTAAGCTTCGTCTGTATTGTCAACGTTTTATTCTCAATAATTCTTTTTTTGGCAGCGGCTTCCGTTACATCGACCAACCTTGCTCACAACTCAAACCTGCGACATCTTCACCTCAGTAACCTATTATTAGGAGAAATTCCGGGTTACCATAGAAGAGAATTCCGAATTATCCCTGAAAAATGGGTCGTCGCTATGCTCTCCCAAGTTTCGTCGCCATTGGAAGAGCTCCGGTTGACAGTGGTGATAGAAAAACATTCAAAGAGGGTCAAGAGCGAGGACATTACCGCTATTGCCAACGCTTTGGTCTGGCCGCGGTTTGCTCAACTGAGGCTCGTCTGGTGGGATTTTGTGCAGTCAAGCGTATCTGGAGACAGTCATTGGAAAATGAACGTTGAGTGGGAGAAGTCCGAGATTAGAAAGGCATTCGGAGTGACGGAGTGGAAGGGCATTCTCCGGATTTCGGCTGACCGCCGCGACTTGCTATAAATCGGAATTGCTCGGGACGTAGAGGGCGACTGATCGCACATGAGCATCCTCTGAAACTTTGTTCTTAAACACGGAAGCGCGGGGTAAATTTCCTTCTCGAAGGCTATACTAGGATTAATCCGCCCTTGTTCAAAGAATTGTTTGGGGGTACTTCGTATCCTACCATACTTGCAAGTTACTTATTGGTTACTTATCATCAGTGATCACCAGTAGAATCCTACTACCCTACCATCTAGGTGTGGTGGTGCACAATCCCTGCTAAGTGTGATGACCAGTGACATGCCATGTGACAGTGTCACACAGCCAATTTCTTGAGACATTGAGTTTGTACTTTCCACAACACCAATTCAATATATTTTTTACAATGGGTTTGATGGAATTAAGTGAATGAATCCACCGAGAGAGTTTTCCATGTAAGAATTGTAGTTATTGCTCCAAAAATGCGCAATCAGCCTGTTTTCCCTGCCAAATTTGGCACTCTGGAGAGATTGGTTAATAACTTTTCAACCACTGCACATATGAACATGATTTGTAGGAGGATTTTACTTAGACTTTAAATTAAAATCGATCTACGAGTCCAGAATTTTTATTTGTAGCCCATGTGCCGAGATAGCCTTGAAAATGGGCACTTTAACATGGTTAAGGGGTAGTAATTAAAATTCTGGACTCGTAGGATTAAAGCCATATACTAATCGATGATTTTGTCTCTGCAAATCTAAGCTGAAATCCTATCTGTTGTGAAGCAGATAGCTCAAGTAGGCAACCTTGGGTAATAGG